GTTGAGTAAGGGGATTTTCTAGCAGACATTCTTACCCAGCCGTTGCTATGTTCTGTGCCGAAGCTGATGTTGAATTGCCCAAAATAAGGTGGTAACGATGAACGCACCTCTAAGTGCTGCATGACCGTTCTTAGTTGGGGGACTGATTTGTCTGGTTAATTGTGAGCGAGTGACAGACTAAGAGCTCTTTCCTGATTCTATGAGAGGTGGTGCATGGTCCTTCTCAGTGGAATGGTTGGGTTGAACGAGGAAGGACAGGCCGAAAACTTCCTTCAACTTGCCATTGTAGCACGACGAGTTATCTACCAGTACTACTGTTGTGCTTCTGAGTACCGTTGTTGATTGAGCAAGTGAGTGTGGCCACCACTGCGAAGCGAACTACTGCCACTTTACGTTAGATGGATGTTGCAGGTCGCACGGTGCCAGCTGGTTCTTGCATCAGGGTGCTGCTACCAGGGCATTGAAGCTTGCTCGTTGGACTGTGCATGCTTACACAGTCGGGGACCAGAAGTGGACTGTGGGCTTGCCGTTGGACTGTGCATGCTCACACAGTCGGAGAGGAGCGGCGTGAGACCAGCATTGAACTGTAGAGTTGCTATTGGACTGAGCATGCTCACACAGTCGGGGACCAGCAGTGGACTATGGGTTTGTCGTTGGACTGTGTATGCTCACACAATCGGGGACCAGCAGTGGACTGTGGACTTACTGTTGACTGTGCATTTGCTCACACAGTCGAACGAAGCAGCGGCGAGCCAGCGAAGACTGGAAGCTTACCTGAAGGAAGACGCATTACTCGTCCGGTGATGCGAGCAGCGCGAAGACCAGCGGGCGACTTGGAAATTTCCCTGCTGTACGTTGCATTGCTCATTAGATCAGTAGGAGTAGCGTGAGCAGCAAGGCTTGGAGACTTACCTGTTTGACGGTGTGTTAGACACACTAGTTGGGAAGCTGCAACGACTTCAGTTTCTTCAAAGACAGGTTTCGTCGCTTCGTTCTGACCACGGATCTGACTGTGGACATTGCATTTTGGCCGCCATTGCGGGACCCTCAGGTGCGTTAAGGTAACAAGGCCCTCTCGTGTGAGTTGAGTTGGCCTCTTCTCGTATCTCGAGCGTCTGATCTTTCTTCTTTTATCCTTCTTATTCTAAGTCTAGTCTGTGTTCAGAGAGGAAGGCGGCAGGCGGGATAACAACCCGTAGGACCGCATCAAGGCCTTTGTGGGAGGTTGACCCACCGATTGCGGGAGCTCTGGCGGAGTCCAGGCGCGACTCTAGAGGCAGGGAACTCAGAGGTAGGCCGACAGCATACCTTTAGAATCCCAATAAACCCCTATCTATACAAACCTGATGTTTTGTCTGTTTGACTTTGACTTGTGTACTATATGATTGTTTTCTTTTTCATAACATTAATTAAACTAGAATGGGAATCTACTATGCTTGATTAAGTCATCTTTCTGTGGAAAAAACCATGATGTTTGTATGTGATGATTTGAACTGGGGCTGGAGATGAGGTCCTCCAAACTGATCCGGTCGCCTTGCTGTTTTGCCTAAGATATTGAACTGGGGCTGGAAATGAGGTCCTCCAGACTGATCCGGTCGCCTTGCTGTTTTGCCTAAGACATTGAACTGGGGCTGGA